TATTTGTGATGATTGTGAATGAAATATGATTGTGGTTCCTCACACTTATGTCGGCATGGCATGACCTTGGGCAAGAGATTCTACAAGGGGTGGCTGAGCATGACATAGTGTGGGATGTGTGAGGCAATTATCACGTATGTCGACGTGGCACGACCTTGGGCAATAGATGCTACAGGGGTGGTATGAGCATGACATAGTGTTAATTTCAAGATTTGTGTGTGGCAACTAGTACTTATGTTGGCGTGGCACGACCTTGGGCACGAGATGCTACAAGGGTGGCGTGAGCTTAACATAGTACAAATTATATGATGTGATGAATTGGTGTGCTTGAGAATTGTGATGTAAAGATGATGCATGATTGATAGAATTATGATATGTAGAAATGATTGTAAATATTTCATTATGTAATGAGTTATGATGAGATTACATTGTGGTGTGTTTGTATGTTCTTTCCATATAAAGGTTTTCTTTTCTCACCATACAATTTGCGGATATTTTAAGTGAGGAAGATCCGGATTTGAGTGACATCTAGAATGCCAACAGTTGAATTCTGGGTGTGCTCTAATATTGTGACATCGGGGCAGAGGATTTCTAGGACATGGATTGTTATATGCATTTGGAGTTATACTTATTCTTTTGAAAATAATTTGTAAACTCTTATGTTTTATTTTCCAACTTTTATTTTCAATTATTATGGATATGAGGAGGGATCTTTTTACTCTAGGAGTAAGTCTACCTAGCTTTACTCTGTTCAATAACTCATGTTATATATAAAATTTAAAAGATATAAACGTTCAATTTAAAGTTCTTAATGCATAAATTAAATCTGCAAATTTTAGAAAATTTGAAAATCATTTGATACTTTATTTTTTTAATTTAAATCTATATAAAATGATTTTATGATTATCCGTCAATTTGAATTAATGAAATGAAGTATCAAATAATTTTCAAATTTTCTAAAAAATTGCAGATTTGATCTATGCATTAAGAACTTTAAATTGAACGGTTAGATCGTTGAAATTTGATGTAGAACATGAGTTACTGAATGGAGTAAGTCTAGGTAGACTTACTCCTAGAGTAAAAAGATCCCCTCCTTTATGGATATTGAAGAACATTTATGAAGGTTTTTATGTGGACCCTTTTACCAATGTTGAAAAAACAAATTCTTTAGTTTATTTACATTATTACAATATATGTGTTGGGATAGTAAGGGTGTCACACAAGTCGTTCATAAAAATTGGTGACACTTATTTGTATGAGAAGTAACGAGGCACATTATTGATAACATAAGATTGTAATAATAATGTCCTTTCGTTTTCCTTTGTCATTGTTAAGGGAGAGGCTTTACTTGTGTGGTCATGATTTTTGTCTCATTTGTGTGAACACGTAAGTAACAAACGAGGTATATGTCTAATTTATGATCAACATCAGAGTATAAAGTCAACTATTGATAATGAAGCACTTGGTTTTAGATATCCTTATGTTATAAGTATTGCATTCACCTTATTGCTAGTAATTTTTAGCACCGATTCAAGGATTCCAAACTAAAATAACAATTGGTGAAATTAGGTATGACACTTCAAAATGTAAATTTTGTTCCACTTTTTTTTTTGTTATAATTGTTATGCTTGTCCTTGAACCTAATTTGTGGAATTCATGTTACACTACATGCAAGCAAAATTTTTATCGGAACTTGGAAAAATTTTGTGTTTAATCCTGATGTTCAAAGGTGGATTTGAGGGATATAAAAGAGAAATAGTCTATGGCATACGATGCAAATGGACACAAATATGGTCACATGAAGACAAACCTATCTGAATGTGTGAACAAAGTATTAAAGGAGTGTTGAAACATTTCTATCATTGCATTAATGTGATTGACATATACCAGGTGTGCAACTTCATGAAAGTTGTTGTATTCGAATAAAACAACTTTATGGAGGTTGTTGTATTTGAATAAGCATGTTGTTTATTCAAATAAACAACCATTTGTGTATATATTTTATTTATTGAAATAAAAAAGATATTGGTTCTTAAATAAAAGGGTAAAATTGTAATTTTATTTTAATTATAATTTCTTTCTTTCCATCAATTCAAACAAACAACCTTATAATATTATTTCTCTTCTATTTCTTATATGTTTATCTCAAACTAAATAATCTTATTTTCATCCTATTTCTACTCACTTGTTTCTCTCTCTTCTATTTCTCTCCACTTTATTTATCACATATTTTTCTCCTCACAACTAAGGATGGGAATAGGTTAGGCCAAGTCATACTTTTAATATATAGAATGGGCCTATTCTACAAAATTAAAGCATAAGTCTGATCTATTATTTATTATAAGTATTTTTTATAAACCTGATCCAACCTTTTTAAAGTCTAGCATACCCTATTAACTTATTTAAAAACATATTTATATTAATAATGTTAATTAGACCGATAGATTTAATTTTTAAAAGTCCAAAATTTATTTTTTAAAATATAATTAGCTCAATATTATTAAAATTTAAAAGAAATATGTGAGAAAAAGTGAATCATTTTCTATTGAAAGGATAATTCATGCGTAAGCATGCATATTAATGTATACTCACGCACAGGTCGTAAGCTTATAAACTTATAATGAAAAAAAAAATAATTGTATAAAAAATATTTTAAATATTGATATTTTTTATTTTATAAACTTATTTATTTATATTTTTAATAATATAAGTATGTTAACTTTTTATTATATTATTAAATAAAGTTATTTTTAAAATATAATTTTTAATATTAATAAAATTCAAATTTTAAAAGAAATTTAGGAAAAAAAAGTGAATTATTTTCTATTAGAGAAAAAATTCATGTTTAATCGTATGTTTGAGATACTCTCACAGGTACAACCTTCTAAGTCTATAATAAAAAAAGACAATTGTATAAAAAATATTTTAAATATTAATAATTTGTTTTTGTTTTATAAATTTATTTGTTTATTTATATTTTTAATAATATATGTATATTAATTTTTTTATATTATACAAATAAATAGGCTGACCTATTAGTTCTAACAAATATTTTTACAAGTTTAAGTTTGGTCTTTTTATATAAATAGATTTTTTGAAATGAACTTTTCCATTTAATTAAACAGACTAGACTAGACTTTAAAAATGTTTAGTCATAAACTTTTTTTTAAGGTCTGATTTATTCTCATTCATACTCACAACCAAATATAGTGTAAGAGTGTGTTTGATTATATGTTTCAAAGTATTAAAATATGTGTTTTTACTTTTTAATGCATAAAATCTAAAATTAAATTTAAAAACAACAAAATTATTACTTTAATAAAAATATATTGAATTAAACTTAATATTTATTCAAACACATACTTTAGTCTAATGATCTCCAATATCTTAATTATATTTTTAATAATATAACTATATTAATTTTTATTATATTATTAAATAAATTTATTTTTGAAATATAATTTTATTATTATTAAATTTTAAATTATGAAAAAATTTAGGGAAAAAAGTGAATTATTTTTATTTGAGAAAAAATTCACGTTTAATATCGTATGTTTGACGTACACTTACGTACATATTGTAAGCTTATAAGTCTATAATAAAAAAAAAGATAATTGTATAAAAAATTTAAATATTAATAATTTGTTTTTTTATAAATTTTTTTATTTATTTATATTTTTAATAATGTATGTATATTAATTTTTTTATTATATTATATAAATAAATAAGCTGATTTATTAGGTCTAATAAATTTTTTTACAAGTCTAAGCTTTGTCTTTTTTTATAAGTAAGTTTTTTTTAAAATAATTTTTGCCTTATGATTAAATAGACTAGCAGACTAGACTTTAAAAAGGCTAATAAACTTTTATTTAAGATGTGTGACCTATTCACATTTATAATCACAACTAAATATAATATAAGAGTGTGTTTAATTATTTGTTTCAAAGCATTAAAATATATATTTTTTACTTTTTAATACATAAAATCTAAAATTAAATTCAAAAATAAAAAAATTATTATTTTAATAAAAATAGATTAAATTAAACTTAATATTTATTGAAATACATGTTCTAGTCTAATGACCTTCGATATCTTAATAATAATAAAAAATAAAATTCTTCTACCTTAACTAATAATATGCAGTGATACATAGATATAACAAGTGATAAAAAAAGTATATAAAAAGTAAAATCAAGATGAAAGAAAAAGTTAATGATATTTATAATCTTTCTTAAGAGAATTTGTTATTTGTGGCTGTTTAGGAGTGTGGGTGGTCCTTTCATGGTGTCTATCCGTGTATTTGTCTGTCCTATTTTGTCTTGTGTGCTGTCATAGTCTTTTCCAGTACATGCAAAGAACCTCACAAAGTCGCGGACATTAAAGCAGTTAATTTGCACCGTAGGTCCCTCGTTCATCATTCACCTTCTAGTTTCTTTTGAAACTTCAAATTGAAACCCATCATCAAAGCAAACCCACTTCATGTTGTGCAAGTCAAAAAGACAAAAACAAAAAAAAAAACAAAAGGATTTGATTGGAGGTTCACAAATGCTGAGTCACAGTAAAAAGAGAAAAAGAAAAAAAGGAAAGAACCCTAATTCATTTATATAGAGTGCATGTATATATGTTAGATATGCAGAGTCATAGTTAAGTACAAAACACACAGTTTTGCCACAACTGGGACGCACATGAAGTTTCATTCCGACTCAGCAGACTCTGGAATGAAATATGCATGTATGTTGTGTATTAATGAAGAAGTGAGATCAAATCAGCTGAACAACTGCAACACAAAAGAGGGACACACTGAGAGATTGACAGAAGAGAGTGAGCACACGCTGCTAGTATTTGTATGAACGCATACATTTGCGGGTGCGTGCTCACTTTTCTTTCTGCCATTTTTTCATTCTGATGTGTTACCTTCTCCTTTCTTCTTTTTCACTTCTTATATTTAAAATTACTTTTTTTTTAGTATAATTTATTAGACCATGCTTAAATTTGCATTAAATTTTCATTAGATTTGAGTTAATGAAAGTAGTAATGGTAATTTCTACATTAATTTTAATGTGTAGTTCTTGCTAAAAGATGTACTTAATCTTTCTCTATTATCGCCTTGTTATCCCTAATTGTTACTCTTAGTGGTGAGAAGATTATTGTTGTTGTTAATAATGTTATGCTCTCACATTTTTTATTTATTTATAAATTACACATTGTTTATTCTGTTAGTTCTTGGTATTATGTGTCTAGTTGTTTCATGGAGCTGTGAAGAGTTTCGTAATAAAGCAGACAGTAGCTATTATTGTGCATAGCAACAGCCCTATGATAAATGGTAATGATCCCTTGAAATGACACATCGAATAGGACCTGACATTTTCTTCGTTATGTGTGTAATTTTATGCTTACTGGTTACTGCTCTAGTGGCGGTGCCTGAATAATGAACGAAGAAACAAGTGGCTGTTTCGATTTCCGAGTAGGAGAATTGGTGGTAAGCGTGCACAAATAACTCTAATTAGCAAAATGTTCTTACCGGGAATTCGAGGTATGGATGATCTGTTGGGTAAGATTGATGAGTCTCCTTCGTTGGTACGCTTGCTGTTCTAAGATGGGAGTGGTACCTGCAAAAGAGACTCCGATACTAAAGTTAGAGTTTGTATGAGTATAAGTTTCGTATAAATAATGCACGTACCTTTGTGTGTATTAAGGTTTTGTTGGACCTTGGGTCCGAGATCAGTTTATGACCTAATTAGATAGCGAGCCGATGTCGCCTAGCGCGTGTCCAAAGTCATTCCAAGCTGTGATGCCGAACTCGAGCTCGGCCTGACGGTACGGATAGTACCGCAAATTTTTTTTCTGCAATTTCACATGATACCATTGATTATTACTATTATTTTATTTGTGTCTTATTTTTTTCTAGTTTTTTTTTAATTTATTAAATTACTTATTTTACATTTAAATATCATAGTGTTTTGTAGTGTTTTGTGCAATTCTGACGGTACTTCCCTTCAGCGAGTTTTGAGCAGAAAACCCAAAGGAAAAACCCCAAGGTACGCATAGCTACTATTCATATTTAAACGGAAAATTATTCTTGGAATTTTCAGAACCTACATCTCTTCTTCCCTCTCTATATGATCTCATCGACCATGCAAAACTGAAGAGGATTAATTTTCAGCCCAGATGCTCCCACACTCTTTGCCTCTCTTCAATCCCTCAGATTTGATTTTATCCATTTTGGTTTTTAGTTTATATTATGTTCTCGTTTGAATATATTATGAAGTCAGTAGCAAAAGAAAAGAGAACAACTATGGTTTTTTATTTGGTTTTAAGTTGAATTGTAAGGTTCAGAATCATCTGATACAGATTTCAGTCATCTTCTGTCTCCTAGATTGGAGTTTCTGCAGGTTTAGAAGGAGAGGATATTCTATTAGGAGAATACACATCAAAAAGCTATGAATGCCAAAGTTTTGTTCTTTCCCTTTGTGAGGTTATGTGTACTCATGCGCTGCCAAGATTATAAGTATTTCTACACCACCAGACTTTATTTGTTTGATTTTCCTCCACTAAAATTTTTAACTTTAGAAAATATTTATTTTTCTCAAGAGTTTATTAATAGAAATTAGTATACTTCCCGAAGTGGGGGATATTTTGAGGAAGAACAATCATTGACAGTTTTATTTTGAAATGGAAGGATTGATAATTGTTAAAATAGTTCGATTGTGTCATTGATGGTTGGAATGGTGTGAAATAGTCGATAAGAGAGAATCTCTTACTCATGAAAGCAGTGATTTATGAAAACTTTTCCAGAACTTGTTGGGTATCGTTCATCAAGTATGGCAACTCTAATCAAAGAAGCATGGGTAAATATTTTTTAATGGTACAATTTAATTTTATTTCAAGCATTTGATGTATTTCATGGGTTGATGGTGGTATTTAATAACTTAATTGAATCTATTATTCCACTACAACAAGAGGTGTTTTTAGCAACTTTAGAAAATTGTTTTCAAACTATAAGTAAATGTTGTTTAGGGACATTAGAAAATTGTTTTCAATTTTGTGAGGCAAGTATGTAATGTATGAGAAGACATATCCTTATTAGGTATAGTTTATAGATCACTTGTACCATTGTTTTCTAAAATATAAAATTTGAATCATTTGCTTTGGTTTAAGTTCGGGGAGGATTTCCTCATTAGCATGTGTAAATAACCGAAGCACAAATTGATCATTGTGTATTTTTGTACCAGCATATGTTGCATTCTTTGATTCAAAAGTGTTGGCTTTATCATATTAGAGTTCTCTAAACATGATACTGAAATCCAAACTTGTTGACCACAATTCGATTTTAGTGGGGAAATTATTATAATAGTTAAATAACTTATCATATTATTTAAATGATAAAGTTAACATTCAACATTTTATTAAAAACTTAATTTAATTTGTATGAGGGTGTTTGGGGGCGGATGTGAGTTTTTGGTTTTTGACTTTTAAATGCAATTTTCAAACAAAACGTGTTTAACAAAAATGGAGTTAAAATCATTTCTAACTTAATTTCATATCACTTTAACAATTAGTTTTTAAAACGAAAAAGGATCTGTTGTAAAGATTTTTAGTTTAAAAAAATTCTACATCCTACAACCAGTAACACACTTTCCTGCCAACAACCACCATCAAGCCTTCCTCTTTTGCCACCTCACCTTCTCTCAAAACCTCATCAATGGCATAAAGATGCTTTTCATGCAATGTACAATGTTTAAATCTTCCTTCCAAATATTTCTTTCATTTTGAAAATTGATTTGGTCACATTTTTATTAACTTGATAGGGTACATGGAAGATTGTGAACGAACCCTTGTAATCCTCAACAATTTGATATCTACTCAAGAGGGTGGAGATGCAACTAGGGTGTTGTGTTGGATTCATTCTCCATTTTGCTGGATGTGTTGAATTAGAGGAATTCACTAGAATGCCAAGAAAAGGCATTGTACATTTTGACCTTTATAACATACAAACCATATGATGATAAATAGGTATAGTTGAGGTTACTCCCCTCCTTCCACACCCTTGACCTCTCCTTTAACAACCTCTCTGGTGAGATTCTCGAGTGATTGAAGAAGATTTAGTAGTATAGGGTGATGCATTTGTGGGTTGTGCCCCCTATTATTCTTGCTTTGGCTTTCCTAAAAGTCAAACTACATAGAACAAAAAAAAAAGAACAACTTAAAATTGGTTTTAGTTTTAAATAAATTGAAATTTAAAACTAAAATCATCCAATCGGCCCTAAGTTTCTTACTTTTAAGATTCTTGTTATCTATTATTTGTTATATATTGTTTTAACTAAAATTGAAATCACCCAATAGGCGTGATTGAGTTGGCCATACATGTTGAGCTTATGAGGGGTGACTTGAATTTGTTTCTAGCATAAAATATCTTTAGGAAAGGGTGAGGAGCTTTAAGTGTGTTGGCTCAAAAAACCAAAGCTTGCAAAGATAGCTCAAGGTCCAACTTGTTAAAATGATAGCTCACCAACAAGGGGGCATTGAATTGGTGTGTAAAAAAATTATTAGAAAAAGTGTTACCTCCCTAGGACCGTTCTTTGAAAACAAATATCTTTGTATTTAAATATTTTCTTTAATGAGTTGATCAAAACAACTAGAAATCAGTCAGCCATTTAGATTGATGAAAGAACATTCAATTGATCAATGAAGCATATTAAGATTATCATGAAACTAAAGTTGAGAGATAGAGATAATCACACATCAAGTTTTATACTAGTTGACTTTCAAATTGAGAGTTACATCTAGTCTTTTGTAATTCACCATTAATTACAAGACTTCCACTATATGCAAATTGCAAAGAGTTGCAATTAACTTAATCAACACTAGATCCCTAACAGTGACCTTTGGTTTCATATTTACAATTAGGAAACCCTTTCTTAGCTTTTACACTCGAGAAACCTATTTCAAGATTACACTTTTTTCAAATGGAATTACAAAACTACCTAGAAATCTACATAAATTTCTATAGCGAGATAGTATGAAACAATTTAACCTGCATGAAGCCTTTTCCAATTGATCTTTTTAGTTTCTTGAAAACAATAACTGAATTCTTGGTGAAAAAACTTCAAGATATTTGAACTCTTTGATCCAAAGTGTTTCTTGTTATCACCCACATGTGGTTATCACTCTTCATCACTTAGAGGAGAATTTTGAATTTTTAGTGCACTTTGAGAATTTTTGTATGTGTGTTATGAACCTCAATAGTTTATATAGAAAACTTTTCATAACTAATGTAATTAGTTACATTGGTATGCAATTAGTTACATTGCTTTTATTTGCAATTTGGTTTTTTCCAAAATCATGTATTGTCTAAATGTAGTCGGTTACCCTATTATGTAATCGATTACAATAGAAGGTTTTATTTATGAGCTTATATTGACACTCAATCATGTAATTGGTTACATTTGTGCAGCAAGGTTTTGACTTCAAAACTTAACCAATTAATAAGGCCCAAGTAATCAATTGCTTTAGATAAACCATTTAGGCAAAAAAACACATCATCTCTTATGTGTGTTTGGTTTATCATTTAAAAAGCATTCAATGAACTTTCACACATTCCAATGCACAAAACATTAAAGTAATTACTTTAGATAAACCATTTAGGCAAAAAAAACACATCATCTGTTATGTGTGTATTTCATTTATCATTTAAAAAGCATTCAATGAACTTTCACACATTCCAATGCACAAAACATTAAAGTAATTACTTTAGATAAACCATTTAGGCGAAAAAACACATCATCACTTATGTGTGTGTTTGGTTTATCATTTAAAAAGCATTCAACGAACTTCTACACATATGCACAAAACATTAAAGTAACTCTTTTGTCTTATTTGATCAAAAGCAAGTTATGTTCAATGTAACTTTTTCACAAACACAATCTATGTAATTGATTACCCCGTGTTGTGATCGATTACAACATTGAGTTGATTTTCCTAAATTCACTTTAGCACAATGTAATTGATTAAATTTCACTTAATCGGTTTCAATAGAGAAATTTTCTTTTTCCAGGAAATTCTAACACACTAGAATCGATTGAATTTAGTTTAATTGATTACAACATAGAGTTTTTGCTCTCTTCTAAAAAATCTAAGCCTTTTTGTAATCAATTACTTTTCTCATGTAATCAGTTACATTTTCTTTATTCCTCCTTTTACAGATTTATTTTACTGATTAAAAGTTTCTTTGTCCTTGAAGTTGTTTCTTATTAGTTGCTTCTTTAGAAATCTCTTTGATACTTTGGATTTGATTCACATGATACTTCAAAGCATCAAATCCTAAATCTATTACATTGGCTTGACTTGATGTTTGGCACTTTTTTTTGAAAAGGCAAAACACTTCTTTGCATCTTCAAACACTTGTAGTTTTTTTCTTTTAAATGCAACACTACTAGAAAGTCAAGAGACCTACTTATAATGGTTACAAAGAAATTAAAATTGAAATGTAATAATAACTTAAATATATGATTTATTTAAAATGTATATAAGTAGATTAAATTAAAAAGAAAATAAGTGAGCCAATTTCCTATAGGTTTCATTGACTTCAATATGGCGGAGATTTAGTTTAAAGTTTTCATTCGCACCTCCTATACACTACCTTGAATCCACTTGTTCTTTATGGGGTGAGAGCGGGGAGTGCCTGATCTGCCTTGACCCGCTTTGTTTCTACACCTAGTGACTCATTTAGAAATTTTGGGATTAACATGCAACTCATTGCTTATAGCAATTGCATTGCCTTATACTTTCTCCAGTCCTTTTCATAAGAAATAAGTTGTAGTTATAAAACACCCTATCACTTGTTTCTTATAAAAAGGATGAGAGGTAGTATTTGATATGGTTTATAATGGTATTATAGTTTCGTAAAACCACAAGCAAATAATGTTTCACCAATGCCAAGAGCTATACTTTAGCTTCGTGGTAGGTGTTTCAATCCTATAATTTGTATTAAAACAAGAAAGAGTTAATCATCCATACACTATCAGTGTAAAGTTCTTTTACATTGGCAGTCAATCATATCTTTTACTAGTGTCATGACATTTACTTATTTGATGAAATAAAAATAAAATAATTTAAAATATATGATTGGTTGCTAGTGTAAAAAACTTTATACCGACTCTTAAAACAATTACCTTTCCAATCTACCTTGTGACAAGGGACGATTGATGACTTTACTCAGTCAATTTCTCTTAACTTTTGGCCTGCAAACTAGTGACCTTTGGGTTCTTCAGAAAGTATAGTCTGACCAATTTTAGGATTTGCTCAATAAATATCCTTTTATGTTACATTCTCATTCAACATGTTAAAAAATTTGGTATCATATATCCTATGAATGTCATTTCACTTTAAGATTGGCTTCTTTGATCAATAATAAATGGATAGAGTGTGTACATGTTAGTTATACCATACTCTGAACATTTTCTATAACATTATTAATTTTTTTTAGTATTTTAGGTTGTTTTTAAAACCAGTATGAAGCACATATATTATTAAGGGGTCAATTTGCTACAATTCTAATACCTTGTGCTTATATGATCATATATGTACTGATATCCATCGAATGTGTATGTCGTAAACTTTTGAACTGTTTGGATTAGTAAAATTTTAGAGGCTCTATAAGGTTCCAGATTTTGTTTATAATGAACCATTTCACTGAGGCAGTTGTCTTATTTGATTGATGTTTCCATTGATGCATTCGTGTTATATCAATATAAAATTCAATAAATTATCTGATTATATGTATTTGTTTTTTGCATTTTTTGAATATATTAGCCCGATTTGAATAACTTATTGGAAGGATCTTAAAATTTTGAACCCTCATTATTCTGCATCACTTTTTTTTTTTCTTTCTTTTTTTGATACATTGACTTAAACATCACTGTAGAAGTGTTCTCTTATATTACACATTCTACCTTAGTGGACTTTTTTCTTTGTTCATTTTTTATATGTATGGAAATGTTAGAAACCGAATCAAAACATCCTGAACTGGGATAAATTTCCTGTATAATTGTACAATATCAATTCTGGTACCAATAAAGGCAGTACTAGAATAGCTGAATTACAGAAATGAAGGTACCAAACGGTGTTTGAGAGACGTTGCACTCTCCCTTACTGACTTCTACTATTTTTCCTGCCTTTCTTTCTTCTCCCTAACTTCTTTCTTCTAGCTATATATGGATCAAATAACTCAGATTCCTCCATTGATTCCCTTTTATTTCCTTACATAAATCATCCAGTTATTTCCTTATTTAAATCACTCAATTCCCCTGATAGCTGTTCCTGCAATCTATTATACATTAATCAGTCAATTTCAATTGATTCCCCCTCCGTTGTTACATAATAGATACCTTTTAATAGGTGGTTTTCTATTAAGGAACCAAATTATTGATTGCTAAGTAATGTGAAGCTCAATCAAGTGACATGTATGGAATTATGTGTTGCAAGCCCTCTACAACTTCTAGTAATCTTTATTTTGTACCATGTTGTTTATGTTTATTTTCAGAAAAATATTAATTGAAGCATTTGCTTTTATTTCAGTTGGGGGATGATTTATTCAGTTTGTTTTAACCTGAGCACAGTTGAACATTTTGAGTATTTATTTTTGGCCTGCATTTGTGGCATTCTTTCATCGAAAGTGCTGGCTCCCTTAGTATTATAATTGAACCATTTATATATATTTATTATTTTGGGGGAGGAATTCTTCAATTTGTTTAAACCTAAGCATAAATTAAACATTTTTGAGTACTTCCTTTTTGCCTGCATTTGTGAAATTCTTTCCTCGAAAGTTTTAGTTCCCTTAGTATTCTTGGGTAGGGGTTAAATCTAACTCCTATAATATCATATTGGGTTCAATTCTTCAATGTTTGGTCTGGTTTACTTTAGAATTGTAGTTTCAAGAAACAATGGGAAAATAAAATTTCACCAATTAATGCCTAGTAGAACTAAAATTGTAAGCTTATAAATAAATACATGTTCCTATAAGTGGTATATATTGAGACAAAGTTGTTGGTCTCGGGTAGAACACGAATCTAGAAGGAGGGTTGAATCTCAAACAATATACAAAGTATATCATTTTTATTACACAGCGAAATAGATGTTTTAACTCTAAATTGATTTTAGTAATTACCTTTTTCACTTTATTACCAGATTGCATATATCATATATTAGATTTCACAACACATCAATCTTAAATATTCAAGAAAACTTTTCTTTTACTATCTTGAAATTCTTTTTTATCAATTCAACAAGAAATATAACAACATATGAAGGTAAAGAAAGAAATTGTAAAGTGATTTATATTGGTTCAGTCATATAAAGGTCTACATTTAGTTTCAAACTTAGCTCCTTGCTAAATCCAGTCTTTCTACTATAATATTCTTTACAAACACCATGTACAAACAATATTATAATTAGAAACTCAATCACCTAATCTTGATCCCACAAGATTATACAATCACCAGAATTCTTGCACATCAAGAATCCACTTGACAAAACCTATCTCAAGATTTCTCTTTCACTCTGTCTCGAGACACCCTTATCTCAAAGAGTAACATATTATAGTATAACCAATTATTCAAACAAGAGTTTAAAGATCAGAATTGATACACACCTGATGTGTAGATTGATCTTCCACATAGAATTGTTCAATAATCTTGATTTTCTTGAACTTCTTTCAAGATAACATCTTTCTTGAATTTTCTTTCCTCTTTGATTGTTTTGAAAAATATTTGATCTTCACTAAATTGATTTTAAGATTCTTTTAGTCATATGTAATCTTCTCTCATATCATATCTTTTAGTTTTTGAAAAGAGTTATATTTATAGAGTAAATAAGAATTCAACATTAAATCCTCGTAACAGTAGTAATCTATTAGCAATATTAGGAAGTCTATTACCAACTTTTAATGAACCTGAAATCTGTTGAAACAAGAATTGAGATAATCGATTGCTGATCTTGGTAATCGATTATCTTGTGTTATAGGAACCATAGAACTCACTTTTTAGTAGAAATAATCGATTACTAAAGTTGGTAATCGATTTCTTGATACTTCTACAACATGTTTCACTTGTTTTCACTCAAAAGTCACCCTGGTAATCAACTACATCAATAGGTAATCGATTATCACGGAGAGGACTTTGAATTCAATTTCAAAACTAAGTTTTAGTAATCTATTACCTCACATGGTA